ATTTTATTTGGAATTTATTATACAATAAGAAAACTTAAACAAATTTAAATGTGTTCACTTTGTCTGGTTTTGTTGCAATATACCCCAGATATTATAAAAAAAGGATCTAATTTATATATAAATTTTCTAAATAATTCACTTTGAATAACATTTAATGGTATTAAATCTATAATAATTCAATTAATTAATAATTATTGTAATTATTGTTATTTTGAATTTTAATATGAACAAGTAATCATTTTGGTAAATATAGTTTGAATCTATTAAAAAATATACAGTATAATTAGTATTTAATTAATAAATTTATAAATAATATTTACCAATTTTTCTTTTATTTTTAATTCTTTTGTTATTTGATGATTTCTAAAAAGATAAACAATAAGATTACCTGATGAATTACCATTTGAATAAAATCAATTACAAATCTTTTTATCTGTTATTTTTACTAAACATTCTGCATTAGTTTTTCCATTATCTAATAATACTGGATTAAACCAAATTCACATCTAACTTTTATATTTATTAGTTTTTTCAAGAGGTTTAATTTTTTTTAAAACTCTATCTGAATTTTTTTTCTTATCCATTTATTAGTATTTTAAGATATAGGTGAATTTAAATCTTCTTTATTATTAATACTTGAAGGTAAAAGTAATAATTCTTCTGAAAAAGACATTTTTAATGCAACTTTTTAGCATAATGAAAATCTTTATATCTGTTACTATTTACAGATAATTACAGATAATCTACAGATAATTATAAATAATCTGCAATTAAATTATTTTATTCAGATATTTGCATTATCTGAATAAATTAATGATCTGTACAGATAATATATCTGCAAATCATTTTTCAATCTTCATACACTCTTCTATACAGGTATTTATAAGATTGATGTGTTGGGTCATAGTGACCTTTGTTGATATCTATGAAAATTTTGATACTTTTGTTATAGTGGTCCTTATAAGTGAGTTTAGTATTCTTGTTTCACTGGCACTTTTTCACACTGAGATACGCAGTGAGTATGCCCGTTATATTTGCTTATTTACATAGTTGCAATATTCGTATTTACGGATTGTTTACCTCGGGAAAGGAAAAAAAATTTTTTGAATATATATGCGATTCGCATCCCTATTCTTCGGCAACAAGGGACACGGATTTAATGACGGATTCCCGTTTTCCTAATTAGGTAGCGATCAATGATAGAGACATTTTATTTCTCTGACGCCTTTTTCACCAAATATTTTTCAACTTTAACAACTTGACATACTTTTACGGTAAGGTAAGTTTGATAGTTGTTTACCTGTTATCTCGTTTACCTGTTACCTCTGGCAACCCACGATATCTGGCATTCCATATAGCTGAGCCAGGTACTTAATGCTTGGCGACTCCTATGGCTATTGTTTGAAGCGAGACGCGTAGGATATCCTCTTTGATACAGTTCACCTGCTAGACGAACCTCCTCTTAGTAGTTCAAGCCTTGTTCTTGTCTCTAGTATATTGTGACATAATGCTTCCTACGCCCGTATGCGCTTATCTAAGTGTTCAACACCTAGTGACTCCTGCGGCTGATGTTTGGTAAAGAGATGCGTAGGATACCCTCTTTGACGTGGTTCGTTGGACTTCCTCTTAGTAGTTCAAGCCTTAGTTTCTTTACCAGAAAGCATTATGTCAAGCCAGTTATTAAATAGGTTTTCCTTCTTTTTTTCCTTGAAAAACAAATGACTTACTATCCAAGACGTAAAAATTTCTTAAATCTCTCCCACAATCTTCAGAGAAATTTATCAATTTCTAACCTTAAGAATGGAATTTGAAAAGAATATTGTGAACTATCTCGAGTCAAAGCAATCTGCTGAATGGAGTTTAATTGGAGTTCTACGATATTTAGCTGAGAATATGGAATACACAAGTGAAAGTATAGAAGAGATCGTTAATATCTTCAAGTGACATTTGATCAGAAAATCCAATGACGACAATGTCAAAAAGGCAGCACGAAATAAAGCTAATAAACTTTGCGAATCTTTGAAGCAAACTCTAACTCGCATAGATATTAATGAATTCCTAGACCAACAAGATGTTAAATTTTCTAAGGTTTGTTAACAATTCCATCCATTATCGGAATTTTTTAGAATGTTAAAATGTTAATTTGATGCATTATTATAGAAACATTACGTGACAAATGTTGAAAAAAGTGTTATTATAGATAAAATAGTAGTAGTAAAAGAAACCAGTAAAATATTCGCAGTGGTAAATATGACATCTCATCTTCAAATTGAATGTGAATTAATACAATATGTTCATTGTGACTCCTTGGTTCACAGGATCATAACAATGAAGTCATTAAAAACTCAATTGTTGAAGTTGTAAGGGAAGAAGGAGTAAGTGCGCAAGTAGATGGTGGAAACATAAGTATAGAACAGACTACTGAGGGTACACAAGATGAAGTTAAAGTAGATGAAAATGAGAAGGTAGTGTAAGTTACTCTTATGATATTTCTATCAGTATTTTAGTAAAAAGGCGATTTTTTTGTCCATTTGTATAGATGATATGCGTAAAAAGCATACTTGAGGACTCGATGACAGCTTCAACTGTTGAAAAGGCTACTGCAGAATTTTTCTTAAAAAACTTTTCTACTACTACAATTATGGATTTACGCCCAAAAACAGAATTTTCATTAGCTCTGGATTCGAAGCTTCAAATGGAAATATTACACGAAATTTTTGATCCAATTGATAACGGATACGTAACAGATGAGATTCATGATTTTCTCGTCATATTTTTCAATGAAGACCAAAGTGCAGGAGGCTGGGCTGAAGCTATTGATAATATGACCATTAATAATGATGATTCGAAAATGTTAGGAAAAATCAAGAAGCTGATAAAAGAAACTCTTCCAAAATTGTAAGGACAAAGAAAACTTACATAATTCATTTTTCTGAATTTATTATTCACATTTATACCACTCCTTCCAGTTTAAAAGTATTTTCGTTGGCAGGTCTCAATCCCTTGAGGGATATGACAATCCTTGAAAACCACACCTTAATCAGTTTGTGCATCCCATGACGTAATCAATTATTCTATCATCTGTAGCGAGGGGGCTAGACCAGGAGCATCCCAGAAAAAAAGCATTGATGACGATGATAAAAATGCCAAAAGCATGAAAGCGCTTTACAATAATATTGTAATAGCAGAAGCTGATTCTCGTCACCAGCTTTTTACGAACCTGAAAATATACGGCCTGACTGCATTTAAAACAGAAGTGTCACTCATAATGATGGATTTTCGCAGTAAGTATTATGTAAATTTGCACTTGAAATGCTATACACAACCGAGAAGTTAACACATTCAACTTCAGGCGTTCATAGGTTGTTTGAGATTGATCATTTCAGAATACCGAAAGATTGGATTGATATGTCAAACTTTGTATGGATGTATGAGGCTATAATTAAGTGGGCTGTAAGTACTGCATACATTATCTGCATTTTATGTTTTTATACGTTTACATCAATTAATCATTAATATATAGTTATGTGTTAATTCAACACGAGAGGAGTTTATTAAACATAGAAAGAAAAGAAAAGCAACCCGATACTTCAAGTCAATTAATGCAAAAAAATTAGCACGATTGAGAACTTAGGCAAAAGTAAGTGCTAAATATCTAAAATTCTATAGCTGTGACCAGTGATATAAAATGTGTTTACACGTTAAACTAATTCTCCATTATGTCATTTTTTAATCTAATAAAAATTTACATATAATAATTAATTTCAATAAAATTCACGTGGTATCACATACATTATTTTTGAGTTAAAATACGTGATGCATAAGAAATAGTGTAAGCAGAAAATGATAGAGATAGAAAGAGAATGTAAAGAGGAAGGAAGTACGCAACAATATTTTTACCTCTGCATCATGAAAATAGGTCAACTCGCACTCCTCAAATTCATAAGGATGAAACTAACATCTTGACTGATAGATGATGCTATTACAAGAATTGACATAACAGTCTCGGAAAAGGAATTAATGGTCGAGAATCACATTTTACAATAATATTAATACATGCGAGCTATAAAAAAATAAATATAAACCTGCTGTACATAACGAAGTTTTCATGCTTGTGATAATGGAGTATAATTAATAAGAACATACTTTTAATTCATTTTGCATCGCTTAGATTTCGCCCGTATTCTAAGAATCCTTTACTGTAATACACAATATATTTATCTGCTAATTAAACGTAGAGTTACATATATTAAGACTATTGATTATAGGATATCAAAACTTTTGAAACAAACTCCTTAATTTTTCGTATCCTTTCTGGAATAACGATTTCAGGTTTTTCGTCATACCATACTTCAAGAAGGGAAATTTCATTATCTTAACATATGCATCGTTTTTGCTGATCACGATTAACAATATCTTCGAATTTTTTAACATCCTTATACCAGCTAGTGCTATGAAGCCGATGCTGAGCCCCTTGCACCTCTAACGCAATTTGATATTTTTGGAAGAAGGCATCAAGCTCTAATTCATTCAAGAAATAAGAGTGATACTCAACTATGGGTTCTTCTCCAAGGAATACTTGAGTAATTAGAATACACTTCTCCTGAAACTTACGATTTTTCTTTGACTCTAATTCTTTTTTAAGTTCTACTATATCTTGTTCTAATTTCACAACTCTAGATCTAAGTTCAGCATTCTCAGCAATGATATCTGTTCTATTTTTCTCTAGCTCTTCGGTCTTGGCCTTAAACTCAGCTTTTTCAACATCACATCTGGTATATTTCTCCTCAATCACTTTTAGAAGATCAATTCTAGCAACACGTCTGTTATCCTCTTCTATCATCTCTTTTATGAGCTCTACGTTCCTGGCTTTAACCTTAGCAAGCTTCTTTCTAAGTTTGAGAATCTTGGTATTTTCAGTCTTAAATTCGACATTCCTAACCTCAAGCTCAGTAATGCATTACTTTAATAGATCTATTTTGGATTCCATGTCTGTGTAATATCAAATGTTAGTATTCAAAATCAATAAAAATATATAGATTATTCGGCTGATTCAGATTAGTTAGATCGGTAAAATACTAGTATTCTGCTTGATTAGCTAGTTTTCTTTAATCTTTAAACGAAAAAAATCTAATTAATGATCATGCAAAACACCTCTCGACTCGCTTTGGACTAGCTAGATTATTCAGACTCAGAGCTAGAAGATTCTGAATCAGAACAGCAGTAATCTTTATCAAAATTTTCAATATGAATATTTGGATTTAGCTGACCCATGGCTTTTTTGCTAATATTTTCACATCCTTTCAAATCTAGAGATTTTAAATTGAGACATAAGCGAGCAATTTCTTTGATAGTCTTACTTGTAATATTGCAATAACTAAGATTGAGATGTTGGAGCTTTGGGCAGGAACGTATGACATTACAAATTGATGGTTCACTAACAAAATCACAGCAACACAAATTGAAATATTTTAATTTATGACAAGTATGAGCCAGTGCTTTAGTAACCTTATCAGTAATATCATTATAGCCAATCTCTATATGTCTTAAATTCAGAGATCTTTTGATAATAACTATAATTAATCTATCATCCCATAAAGCCATGGTATCATAAAAGTTGAGATACTCTATATTGAAACATCTTTGCATTAAAGTATTAGCATTTTTGACATCTCCCTTACTATATGCAATATCATATTTTCTTAAATTTGGGCATGAGTTTAAAATGCAACTTATAGATTTATCTGTGATCTAACGTGCTTTGGCAAAATGGAACTCTTATAAATCATGACAATTTTCTGCAATTTCAAACAAAGATTTATCGATAATATTTCTGCAATAAGAAATATTTAGATGTTCTAATTTACGGCATGATCATATGATCGCACATAAGCCTTTATCAGTTATTGCTTGAGTATCCCACAAATTGAGATATCTTAAATTAGGATATGATTCTGCTATTATAAATAGTGATTTATCACCAAAACCTATACTTTCTTTGAAATCTAAATGAATTATATTTAGAAATGTATTCGCAATACTTTTTATTTTTTTATCTGAAAGTGAATAGTAATAAGTAATTTCTAGATGGGTTGTATTTGAAACATGAGCTGGCTTATTCTTTTCACACATTATTTTTACAAATATTTCCCATTGAATACGATTTCTCTTACTATAAGTATATCCATCTAGAAAATAGTGCCCATATCTCAGGTCATTCCCCTTTAATTCGATATATTTCCATAAGCTAGGAATAGCACATCTATACCAAAATCGGTTAATAAATAGAGCGGAGTAGAGAGATTTATCTATCGCTAAAAAATGTAAAATCTGTTCTAGTAGTTCTGGTAAATAAAAAATGCTTGATTGCGTCATGTGAAGTGTCTCTGGCTAAATATTCTGTTTATATGTTGTATCTTTAAACAAAAAATAAAATTAGCTAAGTTTAGTTCACTAGTAGATCACTGCTCCAGACTATCGATTGGGTTAGAAAAATCAGTCATAGCTCAGATCTGACTATCAGATAATGTTAAAATGTAATTTACTTTTTCGAATGAGATCGCAAAATTATCATCTAATAATAGTTTTGAATCGCATATATCTAAAGTTGTATCATTTTCTCAAAACCAAGGTCCTCCTAAAATTAAATCAAGTCCTAGCCAATCTGGTCCAGGAACTATAAATTCAACAAGTGTGCTTTTGTGCTTCTCACCATCTTCAAAACCAATATGCAGATTAACTTTTCCTAATGTGGAATAGAATGCATCCAGAGTTACAATGCTATTGCTTTCACTATGATTTGTAATTCCTAATTCATCAATATGTTTTTAGCTAATGCAATTTACATCGGCACTTATATCAATTGATGCCTCAATAGGGATATTTTTTTTGACTACACAATTCACGAATACCATTTTATTATGGCATATATAATATTCAAATATAAAAAATAAACCTCTATCATTACTCTGGACTCCCATTTATCAGATAGCTAATTAGCCTTATTTTTATTATATGCATTTTTCTCCTGATCTTTCTTTTGGGCTTGACACTTCTGAATTCTTTGATGCTTAATCATGCTTACTATTTCATTAATATCAGAATCGGATGAACTGAATTCAGATGAGCTAGTCTCAGAGGAACTACTCTCGGAAGAACTTAATTCAGATGAACTAATCTCAAAGGAACTACTCTCAGATGACGAACTAGACTCAGAAGAACTTGATTCAGATGAACTAGCCTTAGATGAAGTAGACTTAGACGGGATATTGGTTAAAGCTGTCAGATGCTTTACCCTGAGTGCCTTCAGCTGGTCACTTTCCATTTTGATTATTTATCTAATAAACTTAATAACTTTGACTGAAAAAATATGCAAAGTGCCTGACTCAATCTACTTCAAACTACTATCCACTTAATCCTTCTTGGTCGTGCTCTTCTTCATCCCAATAAAAAATTTGATATAAAAATTCCATAAAAATATTAAGTTTTATAACGTATAACTTTTATGGAAAATCAG